CATTGTGGGTATGGCCTTGCTGACCTCTTCTTTGTTTGGGGGAGTCTGAATTAATCTGTAGTGGTGGGCCATATAGATAACATTTCTCCTGCCTCAGCAGTTCACCTGCTGTATTTTTTCACCTGAAGACTATTGCTTGTGTTGCAATCAAAACGTCGTGATTTTAAAAAAAATTCCATCTACGTGAATTTACCGAAATACCCAAAGAGTATATATAACATCTTGTAATGAAGTTGCTTGAGGTTTTTTAAGACGGTGTTATAATGCTCAACTCATCTTTCTGCCTAGGCTTTCTTAGTGGCAATGGTCTTGCCTTCCTTGTATTTGAATAGGAGTTTTCTTGTTCCGCAAAGTTTGTGATTTTGTAGACTGCTTATTTGCTCTACAGCCATTGCCTCCTCAGCAAGTTAAGCTTTGCTTTCTTTTTTACTTTGTGCAATGATTTGTATGCAATTTTCCTCTTTTCCTTTAACCGCGCAGATTGTGTGTCGAGTAGATTTCCTTTAGCCTTCGATCTTTCGATTGCATTGCAGGTGGAGTCTGTCAAATGGCATTTGAGTTATTTTTGTAACCTATAATTGTCTTGCTTGCCTCTATAGGTGTTCTTGATATTATCCCATTTATTCTTCAGTGGTGTTGAGATCTTGAAGTTTTGGAACCGGTTCCCAAGTCCTAGCTTTAACTTCTGTTTTAGTTCTGGGTTTGTTTAGTCTTTGGATAGTAAATTTTCGTCCTGGCTTTGGGTCTCGTGTTTTCTTCAGCTTAGTCCGATCCTTGCGATGATGAGATGGTGGTCACTATACACGTCTGCTCCCCTATTTGCTCTCGTATCAAAAAATTACTTCCGCCACTTGCCATTTATGAGAAAGTGATGAATTTAATTTTGATCTCTATTCAGAGATGTCCGTGTTAGCTTTTGTATGTTTTTTGTGAAAAAAGTCCCTCCAATCACCAGGCCGTTTAAATGAGCTGAAGTTGGCAAGTTTTACCATTTTCAGTCATTTTTCCATATCCGTATTTGCCCATGCTCCACTTTTGGTTTAAGTCAGTGGTTCTTAACCTTGTTGGAGGTACCGAACCCCACCAGTTTCATATGCGCATTCACCAAACCCCTCTTTAGTGAAAAATAAAATGTGATTTTTTTCAAATTCAAGACATAGATATGTTTTTTACTGGTACACAAAATGAGCCGTGCATGAACATTACCTTGTTCAAAGAATAAAACCAACACAATGCATAAACTCACAACAAATTACATACCTGGAAATCAATGTGACTTCTGCTGTTGCCTTTGAGAGATCAGTTCCGATATGCGTGGCTTCACCTTGGCAAGTGCCACTCTCATGTCATTTTCACAGCAAAGTCTGTTCCTTTTCTTCGTTTTTATGTCCAGCATCCTCGAAAAGGATTGCTCACAAAGATATGTTGTAACAAATGGTATAAAAAAATCCAGGGCTTTCTTAGCAATAACTGGATACTTGTTCATTTGTCGACACCAAAACGTTGAGAGCGTTGTTGTTCTGAAGAGTTGCTGTTGAACCTGGCTCTGCTGAATTTCAATGATTTCGTCGAGGAATTCATCATTGACATCTGCTGTTTCAACAGCAAACGTGAACGGCTGTCTCACCCATGCTGGATATGACTCTCTTGTAGGGAAATATCCGTCGAGAGACTTTGCAAGCTCATCTAAGCGCGTGGCAATTGTTTGCTTCAGTTCCGTGGATACAGAAATATCTCCGATTCCAGACACATCTTCGATCTTACTTGCACAGTCGTCCAGAAGCGGGAAGTTTGCGAAGTTATTGTTCTCTGTTCGTCGTTTCCATAACGGTAGCTTTTTTTGAAAAGCCTTCAGGTGTTCTTCCGCTTCCATGATATTGACTCCACCACCCTGCATCTGCTGATTGAGATGATTGAGAGCTGCGAATATATCAGCCATGTACGCTAAAATGAGAATGAACTCAGGATTTTTGAAGCAATCTGCATGGCAGTGTTGGTGCTCTTGCAAAAACAGGGCTAATTCCACACGCAAAAACACGATTCAGCACCTGTCCCCGGGATAACCACCGAATATTAGAATGGAGCAGAAGTACCTCAAATTCAGAGCCCATTTCTTTACACAGCTCACTGAAGATGCGGTGCCTCAGAGCACTTTTTCGCACATAGTTCACACATTCCACCACAGTTTTTAATACTTCTGCCATTTTTGGAGGTAAGGTTTTTGTTGCCAACGCATGCCTGTGCAGAATACAATGCGTCACAATGATGTGTGGTGCATCGGCCTTTACTAGCGCACCAAAACCAGACTTTCTTCCCAGCATGACTGGAGCTCCGTCCGTACAAACTGCAGAAACCATATCCCATGAAAGATTGTTGTCTCTGAAGAAGTCATCCACAAGCTTCTTCACATCGGCTGCCTTCGTTGTTGTTGTAAGAGGCTTACAAAATAAAAAACTCTTCTTTTATCATGTCGTCTTTCACATAGCGTACAAAAACAGCAAGCTGGCTTAGATCAGAAACGTCTGTGGTTTCGTCGAGTTGAAGGCTGAATTTTGCCGGACTTGAAATCAGATCCGCGACTACTTGAGCCAAGATGTCTTTACTCATGTCTTCTATTCTGTCACTGACGGTGTCATTTGAAAGGGGAATTTGGGATAATTTACCTTCGGCCGCTGTTCCGAGTATCAGATTCGCCATCTTTAATGCAGCTGGTTTCACAAGTGTTTCACCAATGGTGTGTGGCTTGCCCTGCTTTGCGATCAGGTAAGCAACTTCGTACGATGCTGTCAGGATCGGTTTGTTAACAGGTACAACTCCAAGAGCAGGCAGAGTGGCCCTTTCATCTAATCTGGCTCTCTTCACCCTGAATTCAGCAAGTGTTGTGTTCTTGTATTCCCCGTCTCCATGCAGCTTCAAGAAGTGTTCCTTTAGTTTTGCCGGTGCAAGACTAGAGTTGCTCAACTTGGCGTTGCAAATCATGCAGATAGGACGCTCACTCCCATCACGTTCCGTGATACATGAGAATCCATGTTGTACATATTCGTCCGACCACTTTCTTCTTTTGCCCGACATAGTTAGTATGGATAAAATATTAAAGAAATCACACGACGTACGACAACAAGTCACACGTTGACTACCGAGTACGCACTAAATTCCCCGCAGCGCTGATTGGCCAAGCAGTGTAGCATGATCATCTGCAGCCAGTGATGGCCAAGCGGGCCGTGTGTGTCATCACAAATTTACACAATAATTCAAGTGTGTCCGGATCTCCGTGGCGGGGGCTCTGCCGAACCCCTGAGATCGACTCACCGAACCCCTGGGGTTCGATCGAACCCAGGTTAAGAACCACTGGTTTAAGTTGTCATTCCTCACTTGGCATGTCTCCAGTAATAAGTAGCATGTTATGTTGGTGTCCAGGAGAAGTGAATGATTGCTAGTTTGCATAATGTAGAATTGAAGCATGCTCTTAGTCTCGCGCGAACTGGTTCCTATTCTACATGCAATTTGTCATGGTTCTTGGATATGACAATGGTCACGCCCTGTATGATTGTCATCCTTCCTGCCAGTCAAGGATGGTGCATCTCTATGATGAAATTATCCTACCCGATCCAGTCCAGTGACACGCGTTCACACCTAAAATGTCAATTTGGTAGCATATCTCGGACAATTTGGGCCATCTTGGATGTCTGGTACATGGAATGTATGTTCCAGGCTCCAACCTTGATGTTGTGCTTTGGATCCAGGAGGCCGCCTTTCACCTTTCCAACGTCCCTCCGAGGGCTTTGATTGGAGACAGTCATACTGCCAATTCCGTGGCTAGTTGCCTTCTGGGGGGGTCCGGGTATTAAATGTGTTCTTGTTGCAGTTTCCATAACAGTTCTGTTTTTTCCAGGGTGGGGTTGTTAGCTCCACGTCCAACCCCCTCCAATCTGAAGGACCAGGGGGCAAGTATGTTTGGTCCAGCAGCTTACTGGCTTTCCAGACCTATATTTTCCAGGTGGCATTTGTTTAAGCAAGCAAATGTTGTACCAGGTTTTGGCTTTGGGGTATCGAGATTGTTTAAAACACACGACCCAGATGGAAAAAGACATTTGCATTTGAGACTCTAAAAGAATAAAGAATTAAGCAAATGAACAGATAAGGTTGACTACTTTCGGGAATTAACAAAACCCTGGTGTACTGATTTGTCACGTGGTTTCTATGACAAAACCCCAAGTCACTTTTGAATGCACTCGATGTCAGAATCTAAGCAAAGATTAGGCTGGATAATGCATTGCTGGCCGAGCACCATTATATATTACACAAAATTTTTGGGGGCTGGTCAAGAGCTACATCGTCAGAAGAGGGGAATACAGCAAAATGTTGCACTCTACTTCAATGCTCCAACATACATGTGCCACCCACCTTTACCAACCCACACTAACCAGTGTAGTGAAGCAAGTGTGGTCAAACAACCCCCATCACCCTGCAGTGCGGGAGGCCCTCATCCAGCAGTGAATTAAAACTGCCCTGCGTGACTTCAATTGACGTGTAACATTATCAAATAAAATAATGCATACATAATGCAACGGTTTTCACAGCTGATATTACGCGATTTGGGAATCATTTTTGGGTTGGTAACATAGTAACCAAATTCAATTTTAAAAGCATTTAACGTGTCAATTACTACCGTTTTAGTTTACTGATGAGTTGAACATTTCCCAAGCCTCCAATTCCTAAATTTGGTTTGACTGGATTTTCCTCAAGGTGCTTGGCGCAGTTCAAAGGAATTGGTATTGAACTTCCCAGCAAAGCTCAAACGATAGCAATTGGTGCTTCGATAAATACTTGTATACCGCATGAGAATTTAATTTGTTTGGCTGCGTCGGGTTGTGGAGGGCCTTAGAAAATTGTCAAATCATTATGGCCTAACCCAAATATTTAAGAATGAAAAAAACTGCAGAGTAACTCGTATTAAGAGACAAACTGGAGTGTGCATAACAAAGTAGATGCAATGAAACCTGACTGGATGAGTTTTGCTGGAATCCAAAGGCCTTGAAAGAAAACCGCAACTGATCCGGCCTCAGCCTTGCTTGGAAGCGACCTGGGTTGAGCCCATTTTGGATTTTTAGACACCTAAATACACATGCGCACACACACACAACTGCTGAAGCAGGTGGTATCAGCAAGCATGCTGACATTTATACAAAAGCTACGATCCCCTGTATAGCTAAAGTCTATAGACTCTGCTGAGCCAAGAGCTGTTAGTTACCACCTACTATATAACACAAGTGTGGGTGGTCTGGCCATGGTAGCAGTGACATAAGAGTTACGAGGCAACCGACTGCCAGGTGAATCAGTGGAGTGACCGCGTAAATATATTTGTGTGTGCTGTACTAGTGGATGGACAATCTGGCTGCTGCCTGATGATGCCGGTTGTAATTACTGGCAAAACATCGTACTCAGATTGGAAATGTTGTAGATTTGCTCTTCAACACACCGGTGTGCTGTACTAGTAACGAATTGGCATGTTTTGTTTATGTGACAAACCTTACTAATTGGCTGTATCTGGTGTGGCGGGTTTAACGACACATTCATATTTACGCAAATCTAACCCAAAAAAACCTACATTATGTATGATATTGGTCGTGAAAGCCTACGTGTTAAACAGTGGAGTGACGTTCATGAGAAAAATAAACCACACTTGTAGGGATGGAAGAGGGGTAGGAGACTGTACCCGTGGTTTTGGATGAGCATTTCAGCATTGGGTTCGTCGGGGCTCAGAAAGGGCATGGCCAAGCACTCGTCGATGAACAGCAGGAAGTCGAGGTGGGGGCCAAGGTCCACGGAAGCCTCCACATGCACATCATCACCTTGCCGGTACGGGCCACTGTAATCGCTGAGCCAGTCGTCTGTTGCCAGCAACCAAAGGAGAAACATTAAATGCTAGAGTTCTGGCTACAGATGAAGCTCGTAAAATCTGGTAGACATGGATTGTCATAAGATTCAAATGCCAGAAAAAAATCTAAGGAAGTCACAGGTGTTGGAGTAAGACTGCATTTCAGTAGTTTAGGGATGTCATCATGTCCACTCTACACGAGCCAATTAGCTGCCAGAAAGACATGCAGTCACTTATACAATATGACGGCAGGAAATCATAAAAATTAACAGGAACAGAATCAGAACTTTGGTGATGAGTTCCCAACACGGGATGGGCTCCTCAGTATGTTCAATTAGTTTGACCAATTTCCTTGTTCTGCTACCTCTGCAAACTTTCTAAGAGACTCATCCTGAACTGGCTGTCACCCATCTTGGAGGTAAAACGTATTCCAGAACAAGCTGGCTTCTGGACTGGCAAGGTGTAGTACCTGACCCAGAACACAATTACGCCATCTACCTTACTAACACACACCATCTCGGTTTTATGTGAGGTCTCTACGAGGCAGTCTGGAGAGTTGGCAGTATCACTGAAACTCTAAGCAAGATGAAGTAGTGTTGCGTTCCACTTCATTGGAGCCCAAGGATGCTTGCTCGCTTACCGCTCACGGCTCGCAGGCGGAAGGGCAGCCGCTGCTGGACCACGCGCTCGCTGGTGTAGGGCAGCCACGTTGGAGCAACGTCACCACTTGTCACGTTGTGCTTCCTGCCAAACGTTGACAGCCGTTCGCGCAGATAGGTCAGTGGCTTAACACAGGATGGTTCAAATACCGATAATTAAAAAAAACACTAAAAATGGACACTATATATATGAATGTAGAAATTCTTTCGCACCATACAGAGTCCATTTTGCTAATCGGAGGTGTGTGGGAAGGACAAACTAAAAACCATAATCAGTTAAAGCAATGGGTTTTCAGTCTAGATTTCAAAGTGCATAGCTCCAGTGGCTTCCTAGTATCTGAAGGAAGAGCATTCCAGACGGCCGCAGAAGTGCAAGCATCCACACTTAACGCCACTGCACACGACATGCCAGTAGACCAACGTTTGCACCAGTTAATATACCGATGTGGCAGCATCCCAAGCATGCACCTCTCCATGTTGCACATGTAGCATGTCTTGTGGTTATCAGCACCTATTTCGAACTAGTTTTAAACCCAGTACATGCCAGAACCATGATGCAATACAACGTCGAACATGTCGATTTGCCATTCAAGAACGTATAGAATTTTAACAAAACGCAAGCCCATTACAGCCCATCGTGTAATTCACATGTCCGGGAGGCCGTTCAAATAAGCTTTAGTCGTTATCCGTAGTGAAATTTATTTCGTATGCAGCTGCAGAAATGTATGTCATCATGTGTTTAGCTGCAGCTGCAGAGAACTGAACAGGATGGAGATGCGGCACCATGATGAATGCTGTTCGCGCAAACAGGTCAGTGGAGGAGGCATACATGAACTCTGGAAGGGGGAAGTGGGGCACGGCAGTTAACGGGAAACAGGCCTCAAAACGTGCATTAGCTACGAAATTGGATGAGTAATAATGCAATCTCCTTTGGCTCATCATACATTCTGCTCTCATCCCCTGTTTACTAGTGTAATAACCGAAAATCCAGACCACTCACCCAAAGCAAACATGCAGGCAAAGACTATCAGGAAGTAGGCCAAGGCCTCTTTTTGGTGCAGAGGCCTACATAGGCCACATGGCCTACCAGCTCTGAACCAATTCCTCAACCACATCAATTCCATACACCCAACCAAATTCACCATGGAGGTGGAAAAGGATGGCAAGTTATCATTCTTGGATGTTTTAATAAAAAAGAGACCAGATGGCTCAATGGGACACTGTCTACAGGAAAGCCACCCATATGGATGCCTACCTAAAACCTGACTTCCATCACCATCCATCACAGAAGAAGTCCCTCAAAACTCTACACCATAGAGCGCGATGTATTTCCCAACCATCACCACCTAGCCAGTGAACTGGAACACATACACCAAGCCCTCAAGAGGAATGGATATTCAGACTACACAATCCGTAAAGCTATCACCAACTGTTGGGAAAGAACCATCTGAGGACCCAAATCAAAACGACCACCTTGCCATACATAGCAGGGGGGGGGGGTCACCAAAAATATTTCCAAAATCATGAGCAAACAAGATATGTCTGATTTAACACAGTACATAACATTCGTGATCTTATCCCATCTGTGAAGGATGTGATCCCTGACATGCAATACCCCGGCATCTACAAACCAAGCTGTCTGCGGCAGTGTTACATTGGGGAAACTAAGCGACATGTCTCGGACTGTGTTCGTGAACATAAGCAGATCTGAAACAAGGTAGGACCAATACCTCGGCCGTGGCTGATCATTGTTTTAATGCGGTGGTCTCACGAAATTGATTTCTCCAAGACAAAAGGTACTCTGCAAACCCACTGGCTATCAAAGATTCGTTCATGAAGCCATCCAGATATATAAATAGGCAATTTCAACCAAGAAGATGGGTACAAACCGAGCAATTATTGGAAGGACGTTATTAACCAGTTTAAGTCATAATTGGCTGTGATGTTTCCATCCTACCTTCCAATGTTAGCAGTTGTTTGACTGATTTTACATCAACAGGTTAAATGTCTCACACTAACACAGCCACCATTGCTCGTGTCCTCCATGTGGTGGCGGCTCTGCAATCTTACATTGACATGCTAATCTTTCACAATACAATAGCCACCTCTGCGCCCTTGTGTAGCTCGCCGATCTTACATTTTACATGCAAATTTCTCACTTAATCACTAGCCCCGCCCACTTCGTTTGACCCTTGGGCTACACCCATTTCAAACCTTTAAAAACAGCCTGCCTTAGCAGCTTTCCCCCTCTTTCTCCTAATGACGATTGTTGTGTAGCGATCGAAACATCGTGATATTTTTTATTCACTTTATTGTCATTTTTTTTATCTATGGAACTTTACCGAAAGACCCAAAAAATATGGCCTCCATAGGTGATTGGTCGGGAGGCAAGGTTCAAAAGGAATTGGAGGAGAGATTTGACCTGAAAAAGGCAGAAAGCAAAGGTTGAGCATTGAGGCAATGGTTGACAACTCGTAGTGAAGGAAGAGGATTTGCCGAAAGGAGTAGTGCGAGAAAGGGGCTCAAATAGGTATACAAGGGTAGGGCACAGGAGGGAGGAGAGATGTTCGGGGAAAGGATGTGCTTCAAGACTCGAGGAAGAAGCTGGGCCCTACTGTGGTTGCTCTGTCTAATAAAGAAGGCTCTGAATACGTGCAAGCGTCATTACACTAGTAAATGCTGTGATGCCGATTGTTAATTTGTGCGGAGATTTGTACTCGATTTTTAAATGATTTATAAAAGGGGGACACAGGGCCCAGCCTTCATGGGGGGGGGGGGGGCATCCCCCTGAAAACACCACAGGGTCTGGTTAGGACAACGGTGGGTGCCACTCAACTCTACTCGGCATCCTTGACAAATACTACAGCACAATGAAATAATCCGTCATCATTAGCCGTGACCAACCCAAGCTACCTCCAACATTCACGATCGTCCAATGCAACAATCCATCCAGCACATGAACTTCATTACTCCATCTCTTCGTTGGCCATCTTCTCAGACACTTTCCATTAGTTAGTTTCCACTGCATCATTATTGTTGACAATCAGCCATCATTCCCTCCTAGTGATGTGTCCTGCCCAAGTACACTAAAGTTTTTTTTTATAATATAGTTTGAATGTCACGATAACATGCGTTTAGGGATGCATGGAAGCTCAAGATAGGTTTAGATTATTTCCCCCCCTCTCGATCAAGTTAGTTACGTTACTTTAAACTTGATTTGAAGCTTTTGTGACCGCAGGAATTACCTGGTTCTTTCGGTAATATCACGTAGAAAGAAAATAATATTCTATTATTTATGTTACTCTAGATAATGATGTTCTTACCCTAGATGTAAAAATGGCAAGAGATGGCCGGTCGGAGTTATCGTCCCCCTATCAGCCTCACCACGCACTGGAGGTCACCTGATACTCGTGGCCCCTGCTCTGCATTCAAGGGACACACTCGAGAGGAACAGGTAGCTCTTTGAGTAGCAGATTTGTGCCAGAATAGCGCCACGTATTTCCACAATAAACTTTACCATAAAATTGACTTTGCTTCTTATAACTTTGACCCGACCCTACTGGACATCTGTTAAAAAGAGCTTAATAGCTTAGATTCCTCCAATGTAAAGATTCCAATTCTGATATGTTTAACTTCGCAACCATAGAACTCTTCCGATCGTGTCAGAAGACTTGCCTCCAGTGGCTATTATAGAAATGAAGGTTTATGGCCCATTTCTATAAATGCCCCTTTCAATGTTATTATGCCATTAAATAATTGTTACCGTTTTGCTTTCATTTGTGCCATAAAATAGATGACATTGTAAACGTTATTTTATCTTAACGTCTGAAATGGCCTTGAACATTATACCCGAAATGAGCTCTATAAATATTATTATCTGCTTCTATTGCTTTGCGCAGCATATTTGGTTGTCATTTATTTCCTTCTACTCATATTTTGTCCCCTAGTCCATATTCTTACCATCCGTTTACTTGATTAAACAAGTTGAATGAATAAGACGTTTGAAAGTCAGTTTGGAAAACTCACGGCCACACATGGATGCCGTAACGTTCCCTAAATACGAATTTATCATTCATAACAGCCATATGGAAGTCAATGGGTAACTTTCAGGGCAGAACACACTTGGATATTTGCGCTTGCAAATCCGGACTTGGTTCTTGATTTTTGTTTGTGTCCAGATATTTTGAGTAACCATTTGATGAACCTGCCCAATCTTGTCAGGCAATTCCCTATTAGCAGCACAACTTTATCCTAAAACCGTGTTATTTTATTCTCTACGAGAGTTAGTGTCGCCCCCCCCATCACAGACAGATATTTTTGACGCAGTATTTGCGAGTGTTGGGGTAAGGGACCTGTGGTATCGGCACTCCAGGAAGACGCTCGCCCGGTGGACTCTAACGATGTCACTGCGAGCGGCAGGCTCGTAATGCAGGTAGTTTGTGTAAACGATGTCATCATTCTCCACCTGAAACCATACCAAAATCAGTCAGTGTCAACAACCACAAACGATGGGCAGCTTGAGCCCGACAAGCCTTTCTTTCTATACAGCACAAAAAAAACACGTCAATTATACCTTCGCAGACAACCACACCACAATGAACCTTTCCTGGATCTTGTCCTGATGATGTTTAAAAGGGACTAGTTGCATATCGAATTGTTATAATTTGGTCGAGTGAATTGCTCAACTTACTGGTGAGATGAAACTGTAATGGTGGGTCGCTAACACTTATTACTAACAATTACATTTTTGTGGCCGTGTCGGCTGGGAGTGTGAAAGACAAATAATTTGGCCAGATCATTACGAGGCCCAACCAAAAAAAGTTTTTTTTTTAATTTGAAGGGAATGAAATATTTTACTCATTCTCTTGCCACCAATGAGCAAACGCTGTGGTAATAAAAACGTACAGCCCTTTGTCAATCTACTGTTTGATGAAGACTTCGATGTCTTTTAGGTCACATGGGTTGTTGAACCATACTTCACCATGCTGGTCAGTTTAGGTTGGTAAAGAGTGAACAATTACGATACAGTGCTCCAAAACCTAAAACAGGGCAAAAATCTGTCGTGGAAAAAAAACAATTTCTAATTTAGCCTTAGGGTGCCTTTACAGCAGTACACTTTTTTAATTGATCCAAGTGATGAGACAACTAATTAATTACATCACGCTCGGCTCTCAGAAATCAAACGCTCGGATTAAATTGGAGGCTCGTGTAAAAAAAACACTTTCCAATCTCGTGTCAAGTTCTCGAATTCAGAGCAATGCATTTTATCCAAGTGTCAACAAGTCTCGACTCACGAGGAGGTTCTGCTCTGGGATGTTTGGTAAGATTTTCATTTTTTAAGGGAGTGCTGTGGGAGGGGAAGTGAATTTGAGTTGCATTCCAGGCCATGGCTAATACTGGATCCGTGCATACAGTAACAAGTAATGTTCTCGTGGTCTGTACATGGGTGCCATGTGCAGCGAGTGATGGAAGCAATTGGGAAGTAAATATTTAGCCCATAAACCACAAAAAAACAGAAAGTAGTATTTTGCAGCCCCGTGACATTTAATTACATGGTTTGTGAAATGAATCCAATGTTTGGACCAATTGGTGGCTGGGTGGCTCAGTGGCAAGACTTGCACCCCACAGCAAGGACCCAGGTTTGTTTCCCGACTCGGGCGCCTTTTGGTAGCGAGTTTGTACGTTCTCTTCTGGCTCGGCACAAAGACTCACGCCAAGTAACCACGACAATACTGCCGAAGCAGGCGGTGAAGCTGTCCAGTGCGCAGGCAGTGCAACTGCACCAGGACACAGTGCTAGCTAAGCAGAGCTCGCCGCTGCTCATGCGTTGATTCACCGCACAATTCATTTGGCAAAGGCAATGTAAACTATACTCTTTGGTTCTATTGGGCAAAGTCACGTAGGTGAAAATAAAATAACAAAAAAATAAAAAATCACGACGTTTCGGCCACAACACAAGCGGCCTTCATCAGGTGAAGGGACGAGACTGTCAGGAGGACAGCACTGGAGTGGAAGAAGCCACGCTCAGATCACGACCTTTAAGCTGTGTGAGAAGAAAAACACCAAGCGCCTTGACAAAGGAATTAGCATATAATTTAGCATTGAAATGGCTCATTGAAATAGCTAAGTTAAAGTATACACATCCACAGAGGTACCCCTTGACAAAGGAATTAGCATAGAATTTAGCATTGAAATAGCCGAGTGATTAGCTAGTAACTGGTCACAGAAATAGCTATGTTAAAGTTAGAGCATATACATTCACCGAGGCACCTAGTACTCAAACAGGAGAATTTAGCGAAACACAACCACGCTCAGACAGCGGGGGAAGGGGGGAGGGGGAGTTTACCTATTGAAGGTGTGAGAAGGGAATTTATAAGAGCTGCGAAAGTTTGGGGTACCACTACTTGAAAAATATACTGTACCATTGAAATTAGTTTAATGTTTAATTCGATTTAGAACATCTTTCCAATGGTTGCTCAATTTGAAACCATCCTCTCGGTTGAAATTGTGTTTGTAGATCTGAATTGCTTCATGAACAAATCTCTGATAAAAGCCCGTGGGTTTGCAAAGAACCTTGGCTTTTATCAGAGATTTGTTTATGAAGCAATTCAGATTTCCAATGGTTAAGCAACCATTGGAAAGATGTTCTAAATCGAATTAAACATTAAACTAATTTCAATGGTACAGTATATTTTTCAAGTAGTGGTACCCCAAACTTTCGCAGCTCTTATAAATTCCCTTCTCACACCTTCAATAGGTAAACTCCCCCTCCCCCCTTCCCCCGCTGTCTGAGCGTGGTTGTGTTTCACTAAATTCTCCTGTTTGAGTACTAGGTGCCTCGGTGAATGTATATGCTCTAACTTTAACATAGCTATTTCTGTGACCAGTTACTAGCTAATCACTCAGCTATTTCAATGCTAAATTATATGCTAATTCCTTTGTCAAGGCGCTTGGTGTTTTTCTTCTCACACAGCTTAAAGGTCGTGATCCGAGTGTGGCTTCTTCCACTCCAGTGCTGTCCTCCTGACAGTCTCGTCCCTTCACCTGATGAAGGCCGCTTGTGTTGTGGCCGAAACGTCGTGATTTTTTGTTATTTTTTTTTGTTATTTTACTTTCACCTACGTGACTTTACCCAATAGAACCAAAGAGTATGGATCCTAGCAGTCACGAAAACTTTAAATCTAGAATTAAGCAATGTAAACTCTCAAACCGAGATTAACACATTACGAATATTTCAATAGTTAAACTTGATTTTAAGCTTTCATGACTGCAGGAATTACTCTTTGGTTCTTTCGGTAAAGTCACGAAGAAAGAAAATAAATCGAATACGACGTTTCGATTGCAACACAAGCAACCGTCATCAGGTAGAACTACATTTTAGAGAGAAACAAAACAGACACGGAGACAGACAGAACACAAGCAGAGAGGGACAGACAGAGAGACACAACGACCCCAATGCCTCTGTGTCGAGGCCTTAAATAGAGGGGAGGCAGAGAGAGGGGAGGCAGAGAGAGAGGTGGGTCTGCTGGAGCAGTGATCGTAATCAACCAGGCTATGCGTTAACTGTGTGTTAGGCGACTGTGTTGCATTGCATTTCCAAAAATTATTTTGCTAAGTTTGTTTTCTCAAACGGCCTATTCCTCCTTCTAAAAATTACCAGGATCTCAGATCCATTCGCTCTCCCCCGGCCACTTTCAGGTGGATTTCCACAACTCTAAAATGTACCAGTCTTGTTGGGTCTTTCATTGACATACTAATTTCTCTGCTCCAGCAGCTGTTCGAGCAGACCCACCTCACTCTCTGCACCCCCCCCTCTATTTAAGGCCTCGACAGAGGTATTGGGTCTGTCTATATTGTGTCTGTGTTTTGTCTCCCTCTCAAATTTAGTTCAACCTGATGGCCGTTGCTTGTGTTGCAATCGAAACATCGTATTCTATTATTTAATTTATTTCTATGTGACTTTATCGAAAGAACCAAAAAGTAAATAGTTAACCTGGAAAAGGCCTCTTACGAGATGTTATATCCACAATGATAGCCATGTTATAACACTGTTCTTATTCTTTGGATCTTTTGGTAAAGTCACATAGATAAGTTCAAAAGAAAATAACAAAAACTACGACGTTTCGATTGCAACACAAGCAGTCGTCATCAGGAAAAGGGGGCTAGCCTATAAAGGAAAGCTGTTTATAAAGGTTTAAAGATGGGCATAGCCCAAGTGTCAGCAGCATGGGCGGGGCAGCTAATGTTAATGTAGAAAAAAACGACACCGGCAGTGGGTCTCCACCAATCAAAGGGCCACCAGGTAAACGTTGCACCTCGCTCCACACACCCACACTGCTGATGGTGGAGGTTGCTGCTAGCAGTGATGGTAGTAGTGGGTAATGATGGTGCTGGGTTTCATCAATTAAAGGGTTACCAGGTTTAAAAATGGAAACATTACAGCCAGTTATGACTTGAACTGGTTGATAACATACTTCCAACGATTGCCGAGTTTGTACCCATCCTCTAGGTTGAAATTGTGTCTGCATATATGGATGGCTTCATGAACGAATCTTTGTTGATAGCCAGTGGATTTGCAAAGTACCTTCGTTTTAGGAGAACTCAATTTCGTGTAAGCCCACCGCATTAAAGAAATGATCAGCCACGGCCGAGGTATTGGTCCTACCGTTTTTCAGATCTGCCTTATGTTTACAAACATGGTCCGAGACATAGTCGCTTAGTTTTCCCAATGTAACTACTGCCACAGATGCAACTTAGTTTGTAGACACTTTAGCTGATAAGACTATGAGGGCCACACATTTTAAACCATTGGGGTTTGGCACAGCCACGATGATGGGGGGTGTTTTTACATGTGTATTGTTCTGCCTCATGGCAGATATAAGGGGCATTGATTACACAGGAACTTCCTGATGGTGTCGAGTTTGGTCACGTGACCAGTAAGTTTCGATTTAAGATTCTCTAGTTCATGAGACAGGGTGTCAGCCATTACAGAGTACCGAATGGAGGCACAAATAGCATATCAGTGAAGACAGGTGCATCCATTCATTGTGGGACTTTAAGAAGCATTGTCTGCAAGTTCGTTTATGTTCTTATAATACTGGGAATGCTGTTATGTTAAGATTGCCGTTATAATGCTGTAAATGCCTTTATGATGCTGTTAAATTGTAATGATGAATACAAGGCCTAGTTAACAACGAAGCTTGCCACTTGCATTGTGAATGTTACTTGTAGCTGGATAAGTCGAGCCAGACTTTTGCCCATGTAACTTTAATGCGTTGAGAGCAAGGATGAAGATGCATCTCATCCACGGTTCAGTGTTATATGCAGCACTGTAAATTTAGGCTGCAGTACGGTGATTACACAAAGTGACCTTATTTAACACAGTAGCTTATTCTCTTGTTGTATAGCTATTCAGTGCTAATGTAAGTGGCTGGTCCATCCAGGCCCTATTGAGATTCATGTCATCTCAGACAATGTTATGATGCTCCTTGTATCGATATTGCAAGTATTAACTGATGCTGCATTTCCTGCTGTTTGTTCATCAGTTTCACCTAGTTCTATGCATTATATACGTTGGAGTCGGATGTTCACCCTGGCTCTGAAGGTTTATTGAATGCGAGGTTAACTATTCGGATAGTGGTGCACCGCAGCACACAGCGAGGCATAGATATGTATTATTGGGGGCCAAACTGATGTCCACCAGGGGCCGCCAGTGGCATGTGGGCCTTCCATCGAAGAACACTGCTATATAAAAGACGGTCTTTTGCTATATCAATGGGTCTCAACCTTTTTTGGATGTGGGGGAAGTGGGGGTGAAACTTACATTCGTCAACCCATGCACAAGGTCGGGGGGGGGGGGGGAAGCTACACAAACTACAAATAGTCCCATCATGAAAACTCCAGATGGAGGTGTTCAGGGGGGGGGATGAAAACAATCATGTTACCGAGGCTTGGGTGCCACACGCGCTGAGGTTGTAGAGGAGGACAAGGGAGCCACCCTCCTCCTGGCCGGTGGCGTGACATGCCGGCTCGCCCAGGTACAACCCTCCCCGTCGCAGCGCCTGGGCCCCCACGCCCAGCAACTCCAGCTGCACCGTCACCTCCAGCCAGCCCCGGCCACAGCGCAGGCGAGTGGCGCTCACGGCCGCGCCATATGCTGATCAAGGGCAACGTGGTGGAGTGGAGAGTTGTTAGGCAGGTGGAGAGGGTCGCCTTTGCACAATACAGCCATACATTGTTGACGTCTTAGAAATACCAGGCTCATTTATAGTTGGTGTGCCCCGCCCGGTATAGCCATTTTATTTGACAAATACTCCATAACCATGTTTCAATTCAGGTCAATAATTAACAAATTTACAGTTTGTAAAAAAAAGGTCTTATTTTATATATACAGTTTCATTAAAAAACTATAAAATGCGATTTAATATCTCGTATATAAAAGTCTCCACGCGTGCGCGCTTGCGAGGGATTTGGCTCTCGGACGGTGGGCTTGACGTCCAAAAAAAATCGCCAGGCAGCACGCCCTAAGTCCCGGGGTGGGAATAGGCTATTCCGTTTTCGCATCCCTAAACTTTCAAGTAGTTTAATTAACAAATTCGTGACATTCTTATTTTTATTATTTACTTATTGCGTCACATCGACCGTACCAACTGACGACAATTGCGTGGGGGGGGGCCGGACCCTGCCAAGTGATGCGCGTTCGGTCGAGCTCACGGGGGACATTTCATTTTACGCGTTTAACATGCAATAAATATTACACATCACGCTGCGGATTTTCCTTCACAGTCTCATGTCCTCTTCGCCCCCCCCCCAAAAAAACACGTCCAGTTTCTACAGAGTCCGTAGATAATAATATAGTGCTTAATTACCATTATTTTATTGCACGGCCGGGGGGATGGGTGTGGGGGTAGTGGCCCTGCCTGCCAACGTGCTACCTCTCCCGGCTCGGCAATGTAGGCCAGGACGGGGGCTCCGCACCGGCCTAGGCCTGACCAAGCCTATGGCAAGTACAAATTTCCTTGCTTCTTACGCCAAGAACCTCAGGTTCATTGTTTACTATTATTAAACAAATACGTTGCCAGATATTACAATAATAATTTGTGTGCACATAGGAACTCTGGTTCATTGCTTACTATTATGAAACGTATAAGTTGCCACATTACAATAATTATGTTTGTGTGCAGATAAGAACTCGGGTTCATTATTTACCATTTTGAAACAAATAACAGCCAGATATTACAATCATATTTGTGTGCACAAAAAATTTGTATTAGGTTGATAAATATTCCCTTTTTTCGCTGTGCTTTCATCACGCTGCGACGGTGTATTGCCAGTCTGTCATGTGCTCTGCTGCCTGCTGATTAATTAACGTCAGTGGACTGCCACTCTATTATCTACACTGCTAATTTTCCTTTTGACCATTATGAGTATGCCAGTCTATAATCTGTTGCCTGCTTCTTTACCTCACTCAGTGTACTCCCAGCCTTTCATGTCCACTGTATTCTGCTTTTTCAGCTGCTGCCTGTATTGGCAGCTTTTTATGTCATTGCTTCGGCGTACTGGCAGTCTATAATCTAAACTGTAGCCTACTTCTCAACTTACCTGTGCGTACTGCTGCTCTTTAATTTACACTGCTTTCTGCTTATTTCTTCATTGCATTTCCATTGTTTACATTGCTCATGTCACGCTATTTGCTCATACGGAGTACTGCGATACTGAGAGCTGTGCCATCATCGGGGATTGCTGTGCACGTCGATGTGTGTGTGTGTGCGAGTCGATGTATGTGTGTTTAAGCCCATGTGTGTGTCTGTCTTTTACGATTGGACAACGCCCAATGTGTGTGTGTGTCCAAGTGTTTGTGTGTCAGTCCAAGTGTGCGTGTCAGTCCATTTGTGTGTGTGTATCAGTCGCTTTGTGTGTGTAAGTCCATGTGTGTGTGTACGTCGATGTGTGTGTGTGTGTACGTCGATGTGTGTGTATCAGTCCAGATGTGTGTTTGTTAGTCTACGTGTGTAAGTCCATACATGTGTGTGTGTCACTCGATGTGTGTGTAAGTCAATGCGTGTGTGCGAGTCGATATGTGTGTGTTAATCCATGTGTGTATCTAAAGTAGATGTCTGTGTGACACAGTCCATATGTGTATGTGTGTGTAGGGCAATGTGTGTGTCAGTCTATGTATGTGTAAGTCCATGTGTGTGTCTTAGTCGATGTGTGTGTGCAAGTACATGTGTGTTTACGTCAATCTTTCTGCGAGTCCACTTATGTGCGAGTCGATGTGTGTGTGTGTCGCTGTATCTGTCTACAACCCCCTACCTCCTCGCGGTGCCGGACGGGCAACTCTGTCGTGGACAGCGCTGTGGGGGGAGATCCAATTTTGATTGGCTCCTCCCCTCATGGCATATGTGTCCACCACAGGGGCTAAACGGGGGCTCTGGACGGGTGCGAGGGGCTGGTAACCCCTCCACCTTCAATTAATTACCACGAAACTACGAATGAAATATGTAACAACTAAGCTTGTGCCGGAGGCCCCGGGGGGCCAGGCGTCTATGACGTCTCCTGGCCAAACCCCAATTGGCGGAGCCAGGAGATTGAATACCTACCCTCGGGGCTACTCCAGAAACAACGAAAAGCCACTACGGTTGGCCACGTGGAATGTTCGAACGCTCACTGCAGAGGAGAGGCTGCCACTCCTCTGTCGGGAGCTGGACCGGTACCGCCTGGATCTATGCGGCATTCAGGAGGTCCGGTGGACCGGCTCTGGCTCCTGCCACCATGAGGGGTGGACAGTCCTCTACTCGGGGCAGCAGACTGCCAAACAACAGGGTGTGGGTCTTCTTTTGAACAAAAGAATGAAGGGGGCGTGGGAGCGTGGCGGTGAGGTGTGGGAAGCTGTAAGCCCCAGGCTACTTTGGGCTCGCCTTCCCATCAACCGGAGGCGAGGAATGGTGGTCGTGGTTACTTATGCCCCCACCGAAGATGAACATCCGTGGAGGGATGCAGGCAAAGCCGATGAGTCAGATGCCTTCTATGACCTCCTGTCACAGGTGCTGGCTAAAGTGGCCCCTCGGGATAGAGTCATCATGTTGGGTGACTTCAATGCCCGAGTTGGTCATGATACTGGCACCTGGTCTGGAGTGATTGGAGGGCATGGGCCAGATCAGCTCAATAACAACGGTAGGAGGCTGCTAGATTTTTGTGCAGCCCATGGGCTTGTAATTACCAACACGCTGTTCCGGCATCGGCGCATCCACACAACATCATGGATGCATGCCGGGTCCAAGCAAGAACATCTGCTGGACTACATAGTGACGGACCAGCGAATGCGAGCCCATGTCCTTGACACCAGGACCTACCGTGGAGCTGATCTGCCCTCTGACCATCGACTAGTCATCTGTAAGATGCGCCTGCCATTCTTCCACTCCGGTGGTGGGTGTACACCCAGGACCCCATTCCAACCTAAAGTGGCCTGGTCTCAGTTATCTGATGAAAGTTGCAAGCGAGAATTTCATCATCGCTTGCGGCTGGGATTGGCATCGTCCCCGACTCCTCCTGATGTCGAGGGTAAATGGGCGAGGTTTAGGACTGTGACTCATGCAGCTGCAATGGCTGCTTTGGGTACGCGGTCCAGACCTCCCCAGACACCCTGGATGACAGAGGAGTTGTTCAGGATGGTTGAGAAAAAGCGACAGGCCCACTGTCATCGGCTACAGAATCCCACGTCAGAGAATGAGGAGGCTTACCGCAGCCTTCGCTCGGAGGTTCGGAGAGCCGTGAGGCGCTGCAAGGATGGGTGGTGGTCGCGGGTTGCTGAGGAGATGGAGTCTGCCTCAGTGACCCGTGATCACAAATCTCTATTTAACTCCATCAAAAAAGTAACCTGCAGCGCCACACCTATTACCATCATTAGGGGAAAAAACGGTGATCCAATTTCTGACCCCCAGGAACAGGTTCGCAGATTTGCTGAGCATTTCTGTGAGGTCCTGGGGGAGGGAAAATCCCTCAGCCAGGAAAACATCGCGGCACAAAGTGAGGATGACCCTGCTGAGGCTGCGGTGCCTCAAATATTGGATGAAGTCACCCCCTGTGAGTGGCTGGCTGAGGTGCCATCTGCTGAGGAAGTATTGAAGGCGATCCGGAGTCTGAGACCAGGAAAGGCAGCGGGCAGAGATGATCTCCCAAGCGAAATGCTGAGGGAGGGTGGCGTTTGTGCACAGACTGCCCTATATGACATCATAACAACAGTCTGGACCACTGGACGGGTTCCGCAGGATTGGAAGGATGCCCTGGTGGTCCCCCTTTTTAAGAAGGGGGACCGCACAGACTGTAACAACTACAGGGGCATCTCACTCCTCAGTGTGCCGGGAAAGGTCCTGGCAAGGATTATTCAGCATCGCCTTGCCAGGCACGCTGAGGAGAGGCTTGCGGAGCCCCAATGCGGTTTCAGGAAAGGGCGGTCCTGCACAGATGCCATATTTTCTGTCCGTCTGCTACAGCAGAGGTGTAGGGAATTCCAACAAGACCTACATCTCTGCTTTATTGACCTGGTCAAGGCCTATGATACCATCAGTAGGCCTGGGCTCTGGGTCGTTCTTCGTGCTTTTGGAGTACCTGACCCTCTGCTCACGATCATTAAGGACCTTCATGATGGTGAGCGGGCCCGGGTAAAACTACGTGGCCGGGAGTCAGAGCCATTCCCTGTACACCTTGGGGTGCGACAGGGATGTCCTTTGGCTCCCACATTATTTAACATCTATTTTGACCACGTAGTTCGTGAAGCCTTCAATAGCTGTACCGGGGGAATCTCCATATGGTACAGATATAATGGGAGGCTAATCGATGCCCGGGTGCGGTCAAGGGATGGCTCCCTATTGCTCAACCACGTTATGTATGCTGATGACTTGGTAATAGCTGCTCAGTCAGAGGAGGAGTTGGAGACGCTGCTGCTGAGACTGGAGCATGCCACTAAGAGGTGGGGCCTTACCATCAGCCCCACCAAAACTAAGCACCTGCCTGGGTATTTTGTACCATCGGACACTCCACCCCCACAACTCCCAATCGGTGATGGGGCAGTTGTGGAGAGAGTGGAGAGTTTCCCATACCTGGGCAGTGTGCTTATGACTGGCTCCAGTTTAACAGCAGAGGTCTCACTCCGAATCA